TCCACCCACCTGACCGGATTTTCAAAAACAATGGGTGGTCTCGTTTGTGGGCGTATCGGTCTCGACGTCTCCACTTCTTTGCAGCAAGTCTCATCATCATCACAGCAATTTGCCATGTCTCCGAATGCTACAGCATTGGGTAAGTGCTCTTCTACCCCTCGATGGAAGATGANAAATACTGGTGGTGGCCTGAAGAAAAAGAAATGGCTTATTTGCTGTCTTAAATAATTTTATTTTATTGTTCTCTATTCTTGATAAATGATTTTTCACTGTCATTTTTCAAGTATAAAATCATTTTTCAAAGATTGAAAACTGTTTTTTGTTATAATTAAATAAAATTAATATTTTTAACAAATTATTTTTTGGATTTCATTACAGATTTATACAACAAAGAACAGGATGTTACAAACAGTTATACGAAGTGATGGGGTAAACTTGTATTTTCCATGTGATATTTAAACAACTTATAATGTTATATATTTTAAATTTTCGACTTCATGGCTTAGAAATTTTTGTAACGTGAAACAGTTGATTTTTAACATGCCTCAATCTATCACTGATTTAGCTACAGTTGTATTCCTTTCTTCTGCAACCTTGGACAAACTAGAAAGTTAGATTTGGTTATTTACTAAACACACTAGTCTTTCCTATATGTGTGTTCAATGTAAAAATAAGTAAAAAAATTATAATAAGTAACATTCCCCGCACACACCCTGATAAAATAAATATAGATAATAACTATACATAACCTTATGAACCCTATTACAGTGACTATTTTAATGTTATGAGCCCACTATAGGACTAATTATTACAAACTAACAACATATTCTTAACTTCAGTACTCTCTGAGAAGAAAAAGGTATCCAAATTAATAAAAAAAATAATTAAAATCTATGCACTTTATCATGTCCAGCATATGCTGTATAACATACCCGAGGTGTGCTATGACGAATAAACTAACCTTTTAATGATCTAAAGTGTGTAATTAGCATAAAATTATGGAATGAAACAATTTTGGGGATCATCGGCGTCCACGAATCTGCTCAGAAAATAAGAAAAAAATGTCACTTTTCAATAACGCTTGTTCATTTCTTTCACATAACACATTGCGCAGTTTTATCTTCCTTACCTCGGGGGGTAAAATCTTACTTTAAATGTTCCTTAATAGAAACTTCAGACGACCCGACCTTCCTTTTTAGGCTACATGGCCGTCTTTCAAAAAGTCCTTTAAAACATAGAAACAACCAATTAAAAAGTAATAATTTTTTAAGAATTTGATTTGATGATCTTACTACGTCTTGTTTATTTCACCCTTTTCCGAGAATTTTTTTATATCTACTGGAAATTAGCGCTGCTTAATGTAAATTATCTTCTATCCTTTCTCTGGCGGCGAATTATTATTAAATTTTAAGTTTTAAATTTTCGCTGGATAATAAATTTTTTTTTTTAATTAAGACGTAGTCGCTTCCAAAAATTTTTGGGCGATCATCATATTTCTTTTAAATGTTTCTTAATAGAAACTTCAGACGACCCGACCTTTTTTTTTACGCTACAAAGCCGTCCTGGAAAAAGTCTTTTAAAACATAGAAACAACAAATACAAAGCAATTACAAAGTAATAATTTTTTAAGAATCGGATTTGATGATCTTACGACGTTTTGCTTATTTCATCCTTCTCAGGGAGTTTCTTATTTCTTTTATTTAAAAATTAATAAAAATATACTGTGATTAGTTATTTTTTCGTCCAGCAGATGGCATTGTCGAATCGATTTCTAGTCTAGATTTAAAGAATAGCGCATTCCAATAACTGATTCTCCATATTTATTTCAGTTCTTAGTATTTTATTCATTGTTTTTTATAGGTTACTTTAATTTATATTAATAAAATGTATAGTTGTTGTATTAAATGAAACCAAATATTATTTTGGAATGTCTATTTGCTTTCCTACTTGTAAACACAGTACGGCAAAAAAGGACTAAATATGGCGGCACCATACCCGAATGCGTTGTTCTATATATCTAGCAGTTTCAGTAACTTAATTAAAAAATTTCTTCTAAATATTTTGTATGCCAACCATTTTTTAGATAGTTAAATCAATATAAATAAAAATAACTTTAAGCAAAGCGTTTTTTTCGGTGGTCCCTTTGCAATCACAATCAGTTATAAGTAATTTAAACTTGTTGGCGTTCAACAAAAGAAAAAATATAAATTAATTTTTCCAAATTGATCGTTTCGTGAGTGTCTTTACGTTACTCCATATTGATTTAAACACACAAAAGTATGACATTCGAGAAAAATTTTATAGTTTTTTTAGATGTAAACGAAGCGCAAAAGTATTATCGTGCTCTGAACTTCCCGCATATTGCACCATTGCATTATGAATCATGCAACGATTATACCAGGAATTATGCACAGTAACTAACATCTAAAACATATTTTTCAAATAATTATACTTATTTATTATATTAATTTAAAAATTATTGATATTATTCGTGTTTTTAAACATGAGAATCTTTTGCTGCACGGTATTCGCTATTCGAATGACAGGTATCGATAAATTTGAAGCTTCTAGAACGAAGAATTAACAATCCTACACTTAAATTACGTAATTTATTATAGTTTTTACACGAAATTCATTCAAAAACAATAAATTATGGAGTGTACAGTACATAGGCCCTACGTGTGAGTCGGTTTGTTTTGGGCATAGTTACTATTGTATACGTGTTGTATCCATTTTGCATAAAGTTACTAATAGATTGTACTTGTATATATTTTACAAAACTGATATTATAAAGGGTCTTCCAAAAAGCACTATAGGATTTCAGTTATTTATACCTCACATCGTCATCTGTAGCTGATGTTTATTTTATTTTTTGTATGATCTGACACACATAATTTTTGACAATTTCAGTCATGGCTATGTATAGAATATTTGTAATATTTGTTACATTGTAATAAATTTTTACAATAAGAATACATTCTTATTCTAAAAACTTATTACAATGTAACAAAATACAGAAACTGGAGGGAATGTCAGAAAATAAATTCACACATTTTTTAAAAAACTTATTACTAGAAGCATTCTTTAAAAAATACTCATCAAAGAGTGTGTGATGTGTTTGGCATGATAAGCATCCAATAGAGCTCACAATTTGTAATCTAAGCACAAAATTTGAAGAGACTGGTGCAGTTTTTAATTGTCCAATACCTGGTAGGCTGAGGAATGCCAGAATAAATGAAAACATCAATGTAGTATGTGAAAGTGTTGATTGGGATCCAAGAATGTCAATTTTGCATCATTCACAAAACTTGTGACTAACACCATCAATTGTTTGGAGGGTTTGACTTCCACACAACTCATGACAATATCACTTTGTTACATATCATTTTTCCAGGGCAAATAATTTCTCATAAAGGTGATGTCAATTTTCCTCCAAGATCATGTGATTTGATGTCACTAGACTTCTTCCTTTGGGGTTTTCTGAAAGGAAGAGCCTATGATAAAAATCCTCAAACCATTGCTGATCTTAAACACATTTGTCATACTATTTGAGAGATTACACCAGAAACATGCCAAAAGGTTACTGAAAATTTCAATCACCAGATAGATGTTTGTAGACAGTCATAGGGGACATTTATATATCATCATCTTCAAAGTATAATTGTGATGGATCACTACTTAATGTGAAATAAATGAACCACTCATATATTAAGTCATTTGTATTTTGTAAACAACTAAAAATCTATAACCCTTCTTGGAAGACCTTTATTTCTTAAACATAAATGAATAATTAATCATTTATATTATTCAACTAGGTTACATCCTATTATTAAGTTATATAAGTTATCCTATACAAGTTATAAAATTAAGCATTATTTGGTCCATGCTATACAGTATATTAACAATGTAAACAATGCTATACAGTATATTAACAATGTAAAATCTAAAGGAAATAGATAAAATATTAATTTATTTTAATCAGAATTAAAAGAAATGTGCTTTAATTTAAATTTATAAAAATTATAACTATTAAGTTAAAAAAAAAAAGTATATAAAAATATATCTATATATATATATAATTGCTTGTCCTGACCGACTTAATGGCTCACTGATTTATCATCGCCCAGAGCAAACCGCTGAACCTAAAGAGGTGAAATTTGGTACACAGTTAGGGTACGTCATGAAAACGCACACTAAGAAGGGATTTTTCTAAATTCCCCCGCAGGGAGAGAGGGAGAGCATTAAGGCTTAACCAGAAAAACGGCTTCTACTGTACTATTTTAGATGCGATTTTTTGTTTTTATCTGCATTTAAGTAGGGTATGCCATGGCAATGCACATTAAGAAGAGATTTTTCGAAATTCCCCGCGGGGGGAGAGGATTTAGTCTTCATCGAGTACTTGGGTGTATTAAATTGATAGCATTTCAGACATTGTTATAAATATTTTTATCTATTTCGATTTTAAAAATGTTTGAACCATTTTAAATTTGAATTTGTTATTGCATATTGGTTCGATTATAGAACGATTGTAAACGTTCCAGAAAATCAATAAAATTGAAAATAGTTCGTTTGATTCTTGGCAATTCTTATCATTCTCAGCGGTAGGTGTTATATAACAATTACTATGGTTGTTGAAATACTGAATATAAATGGGGTTTGCTTGCAAAATCGCGCGGGCAAAGCCGCGGGTAACAGCTAGTGTATATACTGTATATATATAATTGTAACATGATAATTAAGAATAGAAGAGATTTTAAATTTGAGTTTTTTATAAGTAGTTATATAGTATAAATATTTACTATAAGAAATATTATTTTTAGTATCTTATGAATTAGTATTTTAGTATTTAAATATATATTATGAATTTTATATGTATTTCTATATTAATTTTTATCTTAGTTATCAGGTTATTAATTATTTAATAATAATTAGTGCATAACAGGATATTATTTTAGTATGAGTATTATATAAATTATTATTTTAAAATATAATAAAAATATTTATTTTTTAGGAGGCATTGCCATTCCTGGAGCATGTGTAGGTATATTTATGGGAGGATACCTCCTGAAGCGATTTCAGCTGCAACCAAAAGGTTTGTCTGTTTCCAAATGACATAACAAACTATTATTTAATTTCATTAAGCAGAAACTGAAAAATATGTTTTTGTGAAATAATTATTTAATCTAATTAATATTAGTAGATAATATAAAATAAAGCAAGCAAAAATTCACAACATTTTATAATTTGAGAAGTAGTTCTAATCTAATTAGAAAAAAATTTAGCTTTAATAAGAACTTGATAATTACATAACAAATTTATAAATTGCATAAGGAAATATTTCTGGAATTGCTACAGTATGTATGATGATTTTTTAAAACCATACATATGATAATATTCTAACAAATATTTTAAAAATAAACACTTGCTTATTGCTATTCATTTCATATATTATCAAAGACAGTATGCAGAAGACTTTGCCAAATAGTTTTTCATACAATGTTACTGTTATGTTATATTCTTCATGCATTATTATAAATTAGTTGTACACTATTATATTAAATACAAAATGCCATTTATCCTTACAATAAAAGTCATCTTTGTATTTCATATAATTTTTCTATAATTCATTCATTCATTTTGATTGTAATTTATTCTGCAAATTATTTTAAAACCAGTATTAAAATTTTTAGTATTAGTGTATCATGGAATTGAAGAAAATAAATTCTAAAAAATATTATCACATCAATTTTATTACATAATTAACTAAAATATTAATTTTATAGGAGCAATACAATTTGTTCTTTTCTTCAATTTGGTGTGTATGGGACTGTATACATTGTTATACTTTTTGGGCTGTGACAATATCAGAATGGCAGGAGCCACATTACCATATTTCAACAAGTAAGTATAATTTTTAAGAGAGATTTTAGTGTTTTTATAACAGTTATTCAAGATTTTAATTTATCAAATATATTATTCCAGTACTGAATTGGAAACATTCCAAGTAAATCTCACAGCTGATTGTAATATGGGTTGTCGATGCAGCCCCAATGACATAGAGCCCGTGTGTGGAAGAAATGGTATCACTTATTTCTCTCCATGTCATGCCGGTTGCAAAGCAGAAGGAGGTCACCGTCCATTTGTATGTTTCTCAATTATATCTATTGATATATAAATTTTAAGCTTATTTATAGGTTAGTTAAATTGATATTTAAAAATAAACGAATAAACAATCAAACACCTAAAGTATGAATTAAAATTTTAATTAGCCAATAAGAGTTTAAATGTTCAAAACCTGATGTAATTATATAATTACGTCATCTGGTTTTTGAAAATAAAATTTGATGATTCTTTTTAATGTTGGTTAAATATGTTATAAAATAGTAATAAAGATTCATTTAAATAGCCATGCACTTGGCAGAGATTCAGTATCTTTAGTGTTGTTAGTTTTTCTTTTTTGTTTGTTTACAATTTTTGGCATTGTAACATTTTGACAGAGTTACATAAGCAAAAACATTAGTTTGTTATTTTTGCAATATTTGAATATTGCAAAATATTCAAAGGTATGTATTTGTTTGTTCAAACAAAAAATTAGTTCTAATAATGCTTTTTTGAAATATAAATTTTCAGTTTGATTTCACAACCTTACCATAAACTTAGTTAATACATTTTTACTTTCTCCACTCAAAATTCACAGTTCTGGTTGGCACTCAGAGTTGCACAAGTTAATCTGTAGAATAAACAAATTATTTTTGATTGTTATAAGAGAGACTCATCATCAGCAATTCTAGAAAAATACAGTAATGTACAAATATTATTGTAAATATACAAGGTGATTTTTAATTCATGCAAAACTTTAATAACTTTTCAACTGAATGAGAGAAATAAAATTCAAAAAGTCCTATATAGTACAATGTTTACATTTTTGATGTCGATGATTGATTGATGTTAACAGTCATTTTCAAAATGGTGGCACTCACTTTAGAGTATTAGAATTTTAATAATTCTTTACAATAAATAAATTGTTTTAAAACAACGTGTTTATTGTAAAGAATTATCATCAAAATTCTAATACTCCAATTGGTGTGCTGTCAGGTCTAGTGGAGTTTAGACCATTCTTCTTCGAAAAGAACATTACTTTTGCTGCATATGTTGAATTATTGGAAAAGAAGTTTTATTACAAAATGCTTGTTGGGTATAAACATCATCGTGCCTGGTTTATGCAAGATGATGCAAGGCCCCATCACACAAAGCAAGTGTTCAAAAGCCTTTACAGTATGTTTGAGAAGCGAGTAATCAGATTAGATTATGAAAAATATGCTGGTGGCAGTGTGGAATGACTGCATCATAACTTAGAATTAGCTCCATAAAAAAGAAATCACATGGGTTTATCTTAAAGATAGAGTATATCATAATGCTCTTATAACTATTGAAGAATTGATAGACATAATAAAAAAAGAAATAATGATAATTCCAAGAAAAACCTTTATCATCATTATTGAATGCTTAAAAAATCAGTTTACCTTTGCCCACAATAATAATTTTTGTCATTTTGAAACATAATTCATTAAATGGCAATAAATTCTGTATAATATGCTTTTTAATTTTCTTTTTATCTCATATACTTGAAAAGTTATTAAAGTTTAAAGTTTTGCAGGAATTAAAAATCATAATGTATGCAATACATAATAAGTATAATGAAAATGGTTATTTCATATAAGAAAACATTATAATTTATTGAAGAAGTCAATGTTAATTTCTGTAAATGATGATTAAAGTTAGATAGTTGTGTAAAGTACTATATTATGTTTACGCCTTTTAAATGATTATTGACATGACTGTGTGCCGGAAATAGCCATTCCCTAACGGGTACTTTATGCGGATTCACGTTAGTGTGCCAGGCCTGGACTTTAAGCGTGCACCGAATTAAATAATGATAGTTTGTCAAAAACAAATCGAATATTTAATAAATATTCTAGTACTAACTATATACAAAATTTAGTAAAAATCAAGTAACAATTTATTCAATGAAAATCAATAAGAATCAACCCGACAAAACTCAAATCAATCTATTTTCTAACTTAATTCTATTCCCCTTTGGAATTCGACAAAAATCAAAGACTTAATTTATGTACAATAATTCTTATGAATTAAAAATCCTAATCGTCACCTCAATATACTAGGAACCCTTTTCCTCAACTCTCAAGACTTTCTCTAATCTTCGATCCACAAATCGAATAACTTCAAAATCGCCTTGGAACTATTTTATCTTATTGGACACCTCTCTCTCGTTTGCTGCTATGAAGCTCATTACGCTCGTTGCTAACAGAAGCTTACCTCATCCATCTTCACTTGAGGTTCGGTCACCTCACAGTATAACTGTGAGGTGACGTCACAATTCTGAATCGATCACTCCCCTCATTTACATACTTATTTGTAACAATAAACTTTTTCTATTCGTCTGGCAGCCTATTTTCCGACAATACTCACTAACCTTTTACATTATTCTTTTTGACAATTTTCGGGATGTTTTTATTCTTTAAGGTTTAGCAAGGTCCTAAGTTATGCTTGTGGGGTCTCCCCCCTTTTCTCGGTGCGGACTTACTTTTTTCTGCTCAGGAGCGCAAGTGTTTGCGAGTTTTTCCTATGGCGCTTTTCTCTCATTGGTGAGTTAGTTTCTCTTCTATTTTTAAGTTTCTAAGGTGAATGGTGAGGAAACCTTTGTCCTAACAAAACATAAGCCCCAAACAAAATACAATAATAAGCAAAATAAAAGTAACTAAAAATAACACTAGGACTTGGTTCCTTACACCGTTAATGTGCCTGGCCTGTTCACCATGCTCACCACACTTGTTGCTAACAGAAGCTCACCTCTGTCATCTTCACTTGAGGTTCAGACTTTATACTGTGAGGTGATGTCACAATTCTGAGTGAGATCACTCTCCTCATTTACATACTTATCGCTAACAGTCAACTTTTCCTTTCTGCCTGGCAGCCTATTTCTCGACAATACTCACTAACCTTTTACATTATTCTTTTTTACAATTTTTCGGGATGTTTTATTCTTTAAGGTTTAGCAAGTTCCTATGTTGCTTGTGGGGTCTTCCCCCCTCTTCCTCGGTGCAGACTTACTTTTTTCCACTCAGGAGCGCAAGTGTGCACAAGTTTTTTTTTCTATGGCACTTTTTCTCGGTGAGTTGGTTCTCTTTCTTCTATTTTTAAGTTTCTAAGGTGATTGGTGAGAAAACCTTTGTCCTAACAAAACATAAGCCCCAAACAAAAATAGAATACAAAGCAAAATAAAAAATAACTAAAAATAATGCTCAGACTTGGTTCCTTACAGTTGTTCTTTGTTAACATTCCTTATTTGCACATAACTGTCATTTTCAGTGGTTATCAGAAGCAAATCTTGGAGTAATTTTAAAGTAATAAAACTTATATATATATGATGTTTGTTTGAAGTAATTATTAATTATATATATAAACTAAACTAAAAGGTGTGGAGATACCTATTCGAGGAATTCGAATGGGGACAAGCGGAGGGGTGAAACATGATATGCGCAATATGTATAACTTGGACGACATCATTCTAACAGTCAAGGGGAGACAACGCTTAGTCAGCACCTGATAAAGACTACTCCCAGTGGAGGTCGAAAATGTTAGTGGATATTGTAACAAACACAACACTGATAAAAGGTTTTTTGTGGACAGTTATAAACTAAAATACACAAACATACAATATAAAAACATAATAAAGTTGAAAAATGCTAAACATGATAAAAATGCTAAAATATCAATACAGTGTAAAGAAATAACAGAGCTTTTATTATCATAAAACAATAAAACAACCCAGGTGAGACATTTGCATGTATCACCCTGTCCAGAACTCCATGTAGGAACAATAATTGAAATGTTTTTCATGTTTATGGTGAATCTAGTCCAGGGACATATTAATTACTATACAGTTCTATTGTAATTTACTTTATTTTATTAAAACAGATCATAAAAATTAAACATATTTTACAATCATTAATTTTTCTGTCAGTTCAGAATATTCCATTTAAATAACTTTAAAATCATTAAAATTAAAAGAAATTGAAGCTTAATTTGTTTTATCGCTAACATATGTTTTTGTCTAATTAAAGTAATAGTTATTTTTTGTTACATATAACATACTTGACTGATAGTCATAAAATTTTGGGAATTTTATTTAATTTAATCAAATTATCCAGCTTATGAGTAATAGAAGTGCATGACTTGTGGTCAGATTTTCATTTTAATATTTTAGTTAGATTTTTGTTATATTAATTGTGTGTAATTAAGTAATTAATATATGACTCATTTTATGTTAATGGAAACATTACAGTGAAGATATTTACCAAAAATCGTATATATTGTACAGTCGACCCCCCTATATGATTTTTCCGTTTTATCTGAATTACATGTTGTACGAGTCACTTAGATTTTACAAATATGTGAGCCGTTCACAGCCCGGCACACGCATTTGTAAAATCTAAGTGACTCGTACAACATGTAATTCAGATAAAACGGAAAAATCAATGATCTTATAGGGGGGGTCGACTGTATTTCTATTTCCTATTTATATGAATTTAATTTTAAAATTATAATAATAATTTTCACTTTAAAACATTGAATCTATATGCATAATTTATTTTCAAATTTAATTTTTTCAAATATAGTAAAATTATAATAAATTGTTTTTAATATATTAAACTGTATTTCCAGAGTTATACCAATTGTGCCTGTATTATAACTAACTCCACATTGACTCAGGAAGTTACTGCCATTCCTCTGGCTACAAGTGGACCCTGTCCTCAAGTTTGTCAAGCAATGATTCCATTCATGGTGCTTTTATTCATCATGACTCTGGTAGTGTCCATAACCCAAATGCCTCTGCTAATGATTACTTTAAGGTAAATCTATCGTATATCATATGACATAAATCTGTTACTTAAATATAAATGTATATGATTTCTGAATAAAGTTTATACTTTATCATAAATTATATATTTTAAAATGTTTGTTTGTCATAAACAAAATATATAATTTATATATGTATATATATAAATTATATATTTTGTTTCTTCTGTTTGAGGTTTTTTTAAGCATTTAAGTAAGATAATATTATTAGCTAGTTTCAAGAAATTTCATTATCAATACATAAATAATAATACTGGGTTTAATATGAATGGTAAATACATTTCGTTCAAATTCTTTATCAATTGTTTAAGGAGTGCATGTATAGTACATATATTCTATCAGCTTCAATGATGAATCTAACTGATCAAGAAAATGTTGTATAAAAACAATCTGTTTAGATGAAAATAATTAACAATCTAGTATTAGATAATTAAATGTTAAAAATTGTTGAAATTTACTGTATTAATTGAGAGTTAACCATAATTCAATATACAGGTAGCCCTCAGTTTACCCCGGTTCACAATAATGCCGCTGCACAATTTGTGATTTTGCTGTGTAATTTCCCAATTTTCGTTATGCCAGATTGATTTTCATTTCAGTGTTGATGTATTTACTGAGCCGCAACATTGTACATTCGTTAAAACAAAGATTTTTATTGAATATATTTATTTTTTCTGTTTAATATTATTGGGTATGTATACATTTGCATTAAATTAATATTAAAATACTAAACGTTTAGGTACCCACGAGTCAAGTTATCAAACTTAATAGTCCAATAAATGGCGTCCGAATCCATAGCGCCATTGAATTTATCCTGTATCAGTTCGTTCAGGAAAACACCTTATGACGCAGTAGCACTTCCGGCGATCACAAACTATCGTTAGNATAATATAGTTCTATGTAATTTACAATAAATGGAATATACAAGGTGTACCACAAATAACTTGTCCACAGGATAAGCAATGCTGCGAAGTTTATGCTATATGTGAGTAGCAGCTATTTTGTTGCATGAATAGAGGAATTGAATTGGTTAATAACATCTGATTGAATAATTGTCTTTGGCCAAAATCAGGCTGAAGGTTTCCCAGAAGCTGAAGGTTCATTTAATGTGTAATTGGCTATTTGCTATTGTTTGTGCAGTCATGGTTGTGACAGCAAAAAGGTAGCTGCTTGTTCTTTACCATTCATTGATGCATTCTACTTTGGGATTAATAAAATAAAAAAGTATGACATAATCAATCATACATCACTTAATAAATAGAATACTTTACTTAGCTTAAACAAAAGTGATTGTGCATTCAACTTCAGAATCTCAAACACAAGTTATGGAAAATCTTTGAGAATCACACAACAATATGCCATTAACATCTGAATCAACCAATTCAGAAGTTTTTCTTTCTTTTGATGGACATTGAAATCCTACTTAAAAGAATCTTTACTTACATGGAATACCAACATTTTTCATCACTGATCTTCAAAAAACAGTTTTGAGTGAACAATTGTTCAATGCTACTGGACAAATTTACATTCTTGCCACATAAATTAGTTCTTTGTCCAGTGTAAAGAAATAAAATAATTTGTTAATGTCTGACATGTGTTGATATATTATATTTTGAGAGTTTTAATTTAAAATAATACAATTTGTTTGTACTTGGCACATCAAAAATATGTGAACTGTTAAAAATACAATAGACATTTAGTCTTGATTTCAAAGTACAAAGGGAGTTATGTAATTGACAAATGACAAATACTTACTTTTTAGCATTATGCAATTTCTTTGGCTGAAGCCAAAGATGACCAAAAAAAAAAAAAAAAAACCAAAGTTTGGTTATAGCTGAAAAAATAATCAATAGTGTCCAACCAAAAGTAAATTTGTTAGTGCCAGAATTTAGTTTTGATGATTGAGAAAGTAAAACAAAATTAAAGTGCAATTAAAGGATAATACAAATGATAAGATTTAAATTTCATTGACTTACGTTCAAATTGGTGGCCATTCTAAGTGAGCCAGGATTGCTGGTATGATATCAGTACACATGAGTTATCTTTTCCGTTAAATCAAGCAGATCTGCAATTTGTTTGCAACTGATTTCAAATTTCGCACAGGAAAAAGTCCAAAAGATGGTTCTGGTAACTGAACTGGCTGTTTGTTTGCATCTTAATACTTGATCCATCTGCTTGGGAATACATTGTTTAGTCTTTAAACTATTTGTTTTAACTGTTGAAAATTTCCAATTAATCAGTAATGTACATAGATTCCATTAGTTTTTTCCTTTCCCTATATTATCAATTTTTTGTCGTTTTGGAAAATAAAAGTTGTTTTAATAAAAGTCTACAATTTTCTCAAGATACTTTAAGGTTTATTAACTGTTAAACACTATTTTATTTCTAAATAGTTATCATCATGCTTTTTTTCAAGTCTTTTAGTTTAAGTATTTTTAGATATTTATTTTTCATTGCTGCTATTAAATAAAGAATGAAATTATTTCTTACTCTTAGAAATTATTCTTAAAAGTACAAAGCTTTCAGACACTTCAGGTGATTTTATCAAAATAAATAAATTTTTATTTTATAAATAATAATTTTTTCTACAGGTCTGTAAGTCAAGAAGAAAGGTCATTTGCTCTTGGAATGCAGTTTGTTATTTTTAGAGTATTTGGTATGTATTCACAACAAATTATAATATTTATGAATTAATCTATAGAAATAATCTTTTCCTGAATGAAATAAAAAATTTTTTGTTCTTTCTTTTAAAAATTTTTATGTTTTATTAAATTAAATATAAATGTGCAATATTTATATAAATTACATTAATCATAATTTGAAATATTTAGGATATATTCCTTCTCCCATTATGTTTGGAAATGTTATTGATTCCACCTGTATCTTATGGAAAGCACATTGTGGCAGACAAGGTGGATTCTGTCTTATGTATAATATAGAACATTTTCGCCTTAGGTAAGATTAAAATTTTATATGCCTTTAGTTTATGTATGAATGTATGTTAAATATTTATCACCAATATGTGTTAAAATAATTATAAATTATATTTTTTATATTAAAATTAGTAATTAACAGAAAGAAATAACAATTAACAAAATAGTAAAATAAGAAAATAAATTTTATATTAAATCATAATTATGTTTATTTATGCTGATATCTAAAAAGCATCAATTGCAATTCAGAAACTTTATAAACTGATCTCAATATTTTAGTTAACTCCCTTGAGTCTTTAAATCTTAGATACTTGGATAAATTAATTTTGTATTGTTCACTATTAAGAAATCCAGACTTTTACATTTTATGTTCATTCTTCAGCAATCTGAAAGTTATTTTGAATTTAGAATTAACTTTTAAACACCTTATTGATAAACTAGTAAAAAATTTAGTTATCAGAAGGGAAAGCTTGTCATTAAAACAATTTTTTTTTATATATAACATGATTTTTTATCTAATTCAAAGTGCATTATTAGTAGTTTTTAAAAATTACTAATCAAGCAACTAAACAACTAAATAATTTTAATCACTAATAATAATTTGTATTTTATGTAAAACTACTGTATAAATAATGATAGAAAGTGTTACATTAAAGTAATCAGTTATTGTTTGTCATCATTGTTATAACAATGCTAATTTTTTTCATAAAAAGTATATGCAGTATAATGGAAATGTGAGAATTACTACAAGATATCTGCTTATTTATATGCTGCAATCAAAATAATGGTTGATATAAAATGGTTTTTTAGGAAATTACCAATTTTATTTCAGAGTGTTGTATTAACAACTATTATCTGAGCAAAGTATAATTATGAGAAAAACATTATTATAATTAATATTTTTATTGTAAGACAGTTAATTCAATTAGAAACATTACACTAATGAAATTATCAGAAAGAATAAGATGACAAGTTTTATTTGTCAAAAATTTAAAATATTTTAAAAATATTTCAGAATTTTACACGGAGATAATACTTATATAAAAATACAATGAGTTTTTATGATATTATATTTTTAATAAAATAAATCATATATTTTCCCAATCTAGGACCTAGTCTTAACTACTTTTGGTAATATACCAAAGTTTCAGTATAAAATCAAATGAGCAATGTAAACCTAATGTCAAGTCATATCACACACATACATTACTTACTAGTCTCTCATACATTTACATTGAAGATTTGAATACTGAACCATGTGTAATTTTCCTGTTGCCATTGGATATCAAAATGTCTGTTTTACTTAAAGTAGTTAAGTCTAGGACTGGTTGGTGATTCCAGAGAAGTTAATATACCTATTAATTTTTGTTTTAGATGATTGGAAATTATAGATTTTTCTGTTGAATAAACATATGAGTAGGAGCTTTTGTTTATCAATCTAATGCTATAACATAAATTGTAAATAAAGGTATATAAGAAAATAAGTGAAGAATATTGTTTCCTATAATATAGTTCTATGTAATTTACAATAAATGGAATATACAAGGTGTACCACAAATAACTTGTCCACAGGATAAGCAATGCTGCGAAGTTTATGCTATATGTGAGTAGCAGCTATTTTGTTGCATGAATAGAGGAATTGAATTGGTTAATAACATCTGATTGAATAATTGTCTTTGGCCAAAATCAGGCTGAAGGTTTCCCAGAAGCTGAAGGTTCATTTAATGTGTAATTGGCTATTTGCTATTGTTTGTGCAGTCATGGTTGTGACAGCAAAAAGGTAGCTGCTTGTTCTTTACCATTCATTGATGCATTCTACTTTGGGATTAATAAAATAAAAAAGTATGACATAATCAATCATACATCACTTAATAAATAGAATACTTTACTTAGCTTAAACAAAAGTGATTGTGCATTCAACTTCAGAATCTCAAACACAAGTTATGGAAAATCTTTGAGAATCACACAACAATATGCCATTAACATCTGAATCAACCAATTCAGAAGTTTTTCTTTCTTTTGATGGACATTGAAATCCTACTTAAAAGAATCTTTACTTACATGGAATACCAACATTTTTCATCACTGATCTTCAAAAAACAGTTTTGAGTGAACAATTGTTCAATGCTACTGGACAAATTTACATTCTTGCCACATAAATTAGTTCTTTGTCCAGTGTAAAGAAATAAAATAATTTGTTAATGTCTGACATGTGTTGATATATTATATTTTGAGAGTTTTAATTTAAAATAATACAATTTGTTTGTACTTGGCACATCAAAAATATGTGAACTGTTAAAAATACAATAGACATTTAGTCTTGATTTCAAAGTACAAAGGGAGTTATGTAATTGACAAATGACAAATACTTACTTTTTAGCATTATGCAATTTCTTTGGCTGAAGCCAAAGATGACCAAAAAAAAAAAAAAAACCAAAGTTTGGTTATAGCTGAAAAAATAATCAATAGTGTCCAACCAAAAGTAAATTTGTTAGTGCCAGAATTTAGTTTTGATGATTGAGAAAGTAAAACAAAATTAAAGTGCAATTAAAGGATAATACAAATGATAAGATTTAAATTTCATTGACTTACGTTCAAATTGGTGGCCATTCTAAGTGAGCCAGGATTGCTGGTATGATATCAGTACACATGAGTTATCTTTTCCGTTAAATCAAGCAGATCTGCAATTTGTTTGCAACTGATTTCAAATTTCGCACAGGAAAAAGTCCAAAAGATGGTTCTGGTAACTGAACTGGCTGTTTGTTTGCATCTTAATACTTGATCCATCTGCTTGGGAATACATTGTTTAGTCTGTTTTGCATAGTTTGTACTGTTTTGCATTTTGCATTTTCTTTGAATAGAAATCACTAGAAAAATTGTAAGGTTAATCATCAACTAAATAAGAGAGGGAAAATTTTGTTTTGGAAAAATTTCAGAATAGAAAATAAAATAATGCTGTTTAGATGAATTTATCAAAGAGAATATATTAATTTTTTTCTTTAATTCAGTACTTAATATCTCTATTTTTGCAAATGTAAATGAATTTGAAGTATAATATAACAAGAATAAAATTAATGCTCCAAGAAAACCTTTAACATGAAGCTTAATTTTGCTACCAACTAATGTTTTCGGACAGCTTCACTGTCCTTCAGGTTCAAAAACAAGAAAAAACTTCATTTAAGATGAAAGTTCTTTTTCTTAATGGAAAATTCTAGAATGCTTATCTTTTAAATCAAATCATCATAGATTCGATTGCGTCAGCTTGTTCTTTAAATTTGCAAATCCGCTGCTTTCTATGCCGATGCTAGTTTACATGATTCCCGAAAATTTATGGCTTGCCCGTTTTCATTGTATTTATTAATATACCACTCTTCTGTGTCAAACATACGGCTCTAAAATATACAGAAGCATGGTATATTAATAAATACAATGAAAACGGGCAAGCCATAAATTTTCAGGAATCATGTAAACTAGCATCGGCATGGAAAGCAGCGGATTTGCAAATTTAAAGAACAAGCTGACGCAATCGAACCTATGATGATTTGATTTAAAAGATAAGCATTCTAGAAGTTTTCCATTAAGAAAAAGGACTTTCATCTTGAATAAAGTTTTTTCTTGTTTTTGAACCTGAAGGTCAGTGAAGCAGTCCGAAAACATTAGTTGGTAGCAAAATTAAGCTTCATGTTAAAGGTTTTCTTGGAGCATATAGTAAGTGCAGTTTGAGTTTTAGAAGTTATAGTAATAAAATTAATAAAACTGAATTTAAATGTTTTTTTTTTTTTAATTCAAACACTTTTTCTTTTCTTCAAGTTATTCTTGAACACATTTCATAAAAACTCAAATAGTTAATTGATTAGATTTTTAAAATATCAGCTTTTTTACTCAAGCATATTTGTAAAAATAATGCAAAACAACATTCCAAAAAACATTTTGAATTATTTCTGAATGATGTTAATTTTAAGTAAAAATTTTTTATGGGAAAGGAAAATGAAAACAAGGTTTTTTTGTATATTTATGATATTTTTATATTTTTTTAAAGTGTTAATTTTATTATAAAGTTCTCAGAACTTTGGTTTCTTTTGCACAACCTTATTAATTAAGAAGATTTTCAAGTTATTCTGTTCCAGATGGTTAATAGACAAGGTCCAAAATGTCAAAGAAAACAACCCTTGCACCAGAGTTGTTTTGATATTTTACAAACTTTATTAGCTATAAATGCCAGTAGTGGACTTTTTGATTACAAAACAAACCTATAATTTCAATAACAGTAGTTAGTATAAAATTTAATATTTACAGCAATAAAATGCTTATTAGTACTATTTACAAAATTACAATTACTTCAAAACAATAACTTAATTAGGAAAAAGAATGCAGTAGATGAAAAACTTTAATCTGCACCAAATCAATCCATCACAATTATTTAAGATGATTTACTTTTTAATTTTTTCTGGACTCTTCTTCTGATGATTCATTTTCATCACACTCATTTTCACTACTTTTCTCTTCTGACCTAGAAAAACCTTCATTAGTACTTGGTTAAATAATAAACCAAGTAATGATCTAGATATATGTATACATCTGTTAAGTAATTAAATTTAAAAATATCACAAATATACAATAAACTTCGTTTTTGTTTTTCTCTTCCATCATTTCAATACACTAGTGGCAATCCAAAACAATTTTCACATATGGAGACAATCTTTTATTGGAGACTGCCTCTGCAATAAAATGCATATTGAAAACAGTGTTCTCTGGTAGTTTTGCCAAAATCACAATATAATACATTTAAGTAAAAATTTAAAACTTGGCTGATGTATCTAATGTACAATACAAGATATATAATAATATATATATAGTATCTAGTAGTAGACATGGAATCTATACTAATATCTTCTGTATCGACTGCATCTTCCAGACTAATAAGATGAGTGAATTGTTCTTCAGCAACTACATCTAATTCTTCAATTATCGCAAATATTACTTCAATCATATATTGTACTCTTTTGTCAACGTTTGCATTGTGCAAAATGCTTCTCAAGTGATCAAATATGGCATTAACTGTATCTTTTGATACTTCAGTTAATCTTTGTCCATGGTCGTTTAAGAAGCCAACACATCTCTAAAGACTCTTCAGTAGGATTTTCCAAAAGTAATGTTAATATTTCTAGTGCCAACACTTCATGAGCCACTTGTTGGATAACTAAATAAGTAATGAAATGGGTAGATGAATTACAAGCTAACTTATTTCTTCAATACCTTTTCTAAACTGAAGTATTAATCTTCTCAATAGTAATTCACATATTTGAGGAAACTCTGCATTTATAACAGTAGCCACAGCTGCATAAACATGAATAAATATTGGAGATACAGCTTGGGCTTGCATTAGTGAATGAATTAAGACATCTCTTCCTCTCACCAGATTTCTTTTAAATAATTCATTTATAACTTTCAATTAAATTGATTCACTGGACTATTTATTGGGTTATATTAAGGCTGATTTAATAATTACATATAAAGCAATTTGACTGGAGGTGGGCCTAATCTTCTACCTCTATCAAAATATTAAATGCTTCATATATGCTGGATTGAGACACAAAAAGTCTAAACAGTTTTTGTATAGCTCATGTAAATATTACAGATTGCATAGAGTTAAAATTAAATATTCAAGATTCATTGTGACAAAGTAAATTCTTGAAATTGAAGTCTGATACCTATTGTAAAGAGATCAACATTATAACAGATAATTTTGTTATTTATGACACTGGTAAAACAGAATTTAAAATTTTTAAGATAAAATGTAGTGCTATTATATTCTATTTTACAAATTTCGGTCTTGAGATAAAATTCTTATTTCTTTCAGTTTAAAAAATGTTCTTAACTACATAGGTTGTTTTTTTCAATCTCCGATGGTCCATAAAACAAAGACAAGTGTAAATAACAAAATGAATTTAACAACATGTTAGACAAATTTCTCACTGTTTGTATCTATGTCAAAAAGTAACAATGTTTGTACCTAACATATGATGATAAATTCATTTTGTTATTTACACTTGTCTTTGTTTTATGGACCATTGGAGATTGAAAAATAAACCACCTTCATAAATAATGATCAAAAATCAAAAATGAATATTGTCATTATTAATAATAACTAATTTGTTATTACTTATTTGCTTCTGCTTCTATTTAAACACAATTAAATTCTGAAATGAAAATCATAATTTGGTTAATATTGAACCCTTTAAATTAGGTTGAATATTATTTTTTAGATTGGACCGAAACATCTGATATACTTCTAAATAAAAATATTTCAAGTAACTTTATATGGTTTAAATAAAATAACAAATTTTATATTACTTTATGGTCTGATTCAGTTTAATTTGTTATAATTGATTTAAAACAACAAAATATAACAAAAGTTTTCCCCCTCTTCTCAGATATATAGGTGTTTGTTCGGGATTGAAAGTTGCTTCTGCACTCTTATTTTTTCTGGATTGGTTACTAATATCTTGGAGGCAGAAAAAAGATATTGAACAACCAACTACTCTAACCGTTGGAGAATTAGTGTCTTCCATAGTATCGCTCGATCGTATCTCAACGTATGGTTGGTCAGAAGTAGAAAAACGAGAAGATGGTGATGACATACAACCACTTGAAAGTACAGAAGAAGAAAATTATAATGAACATGAAGATGTGGAGAATAAAAGGCAATTTCAGAAGTAACAAAAAGTAAATAGATGTATAAAACTATAAATGAACAATCCTATACTTTTAAGCATTTATTTGACTGTTGTAAAATAATTTATATTGGATTAGGCTAAATGATTTAGCAAAGATGATTATTTTAGGTGTATTTAGAACCCAAATGTAATTTAAATCGTTTATTTTTATTAAATTATTTGTACATTGGCATTTAAAAGCACCTACTATAAATAACAGACAGCACTTCCCATATACATTGAATAGGATCATTTGTAATATAATGTTAAATATGTTTTCTGTGATGTTCTTCCATAATGCTGTACGCTAATTCATAACTTCATTATTGATTGACCAAACTATAATATAGTCAACTTGCCTTCTATAATTCCTATTATCAATAAGTAAATATATATTTTCTAACGAATTTGCAGCATTAATCTGTTGCTGCACATATAATGAAATGCATCATGTTGTTTATTATGTATTATTTTATTTTGCTGCAAAAGTTACTTGACTTTTACATCGGACTTTCCAGAATTTAAAGTTATCTGAAGTGCTTATTATATTTAATTTTTAATGATCAGAAAATAGAATAGATTTTAGTAACAAATAGTAACATAGACAAATACTATTTATATAGTCTGTATATCATTTTAGCATGATGTGCACATGTAGCTTATTCAGCTAAATGTAGCTGAATCAGCTACAAGTTACTTTGTACTTAAATAGTGAAGAAGAAAAAAAATCATTTATTAATGCACATACATGTGATGCATATATTGCACATGTTAATTCCTTACAAAGCTCCATTAAAACAAATGTTGGGAAACTGAATATGTAGCACTCAAATTAAAAAATGTAATTAATCATATAGTAATCATTAGAATAGAATTCATAAACTTATAATTGTCATAATCATCAGATTTATATTTTGGAGAGCAAACCATGATATTTCGAAACTTTGCACTGTCATTTTTGCATTTGAAAAATATCTGAATTATAATTTGCATTGAATTATTGTATTTACAACATTGAAAAAGTGCAAAGAAAAATTACATTGTGCCTTTATGTCATTTCACAGTTTGCAAGATGAAATTTTAAGAATTTTTTAATATTTCTTTTATTCAAATCACTGAAGTGTGTTCTCATCAAAAATGCATTTCTGCTATCATCTGTACCTTAATTGCATTTAACTTTTGTAATATACAAACTGTATTTAATAATTTGCTTAATCATATTTCTGTAGGTATTCTGTATAAAGATAATCTTTTTAATTTTATCATTTCTAGTTATATTCATCTTATATTATATATATAAAGAATTAGAATATTTCTGAATAAGAGTGTAATGTCTCACTCAAATATCAAGTTTATTATTATTATTATTATTAAATTATTGAGGGAATATCTTACATGCTCCTGATATTGATTATCGGGTAATTACCATCATAAAATTTATTACTCTGCTAAATAATATATACAAATATTATTTAATTTTTTCAGTAAATAGCATATTTAGAAAACTGATGGACCTGGAGTCTATCTTAAATTAATAGCAATATTTAATAAATTACAATTTTCTACTGTTTTGCTGATGAAATATTGATAAGCCCCAAAATTTCATGGAGTTGCTCAAAGTATCCCAATCATGTCACCACAACTCCGTCCTAATGGGCTACTTAACAAAAGATATTAACATTGCTTTATCCCACTAATCTGACATATAGCATATATAACTTTTTTTTAACAAAACCCAGTACTTTATCATTATATTGTAATTGATATTTGTAAGTTTTAGCCACTGCTACAGTGCAAAATGCAAGATTTTTATCGACAACTCTTGTTGGGCAGACTTATTTTTCAGATAAAAAAAAAAACTGTTATTGAATGTTAAAATATATTATGTACGTATGTATATATATATATATAAATAGCCACATATAGAAAATATATCGTTAATGTTGCAAATCAGGGACCCAGGTTACCACTTCCAGTGGTTGTTGTTGTGTTTGTAAGAAAATATACTTTGGAAATAATTAGGTATATAGTGCATAAAATCTGTGGAGAAAGACAAATAAAAAAAATATGTAAAGAATTTGCATGTTAATGGAAAGAATTATTTGTATGTTTTTTTGTTTTCTTGTGTAAATGCCTCAAAGAGACTATTCATATCATCTATAATTTACAAATATATTCTGTATTATTTTAGTTTGCCTTTTTTTTGGTCCAAAAGAAAAAAAAGAATAAAGACTGATGCACTAAATTTTGCATTATCATATATCTGTTACATAGATTATTTCATATTTGAAATCACTAATACCATAGTCTATTGTTAATATAATTGAATCTAAACACACTACATTCACTAATATATTAATTATTGTGTTCAATCGATTTGAAAGCCAAATTTAAAAGTTCGAAAGATTGAATCTAGCTAAGTTCAAAGCTAATTCAGACATGGATTTTTGTTTATCATTTTTTAATAAAGCTATACTGTTTGCAAAGCATTTTCCCGTTCTGTCCATATAATTGTATTTTTCAGTATATTCTTAAGAAAATTGATCTTGCAATTTTCTTATGCATTTTTGATTGAAATTTATTGATAATATTTTAGATATATTATTTCATTTTTAAAAGAATTATTTTAGAATATAAAGAAGAAAATTTCTTATCTAATGTTACATAACTACTGTATTAGATGTTGATTTATCAGAGGAACCAATCAAACTGTGTGATAATGATGAGTTTCTGTAATAATTTCATAACTAACAGGTCTTATAAAGACCTATTTTCCTTGTCTTTTTGATATAGGTTACAGGGACATTGAAGTGCAAGTTAGCTTTAAAACAAACCATTTAAATTATATTTAAATTCATACTTTAATAGAAAATCTGACTTCTATTTTGGATGCTTTATCGGTAGAAATAGATGATGATTCACTATGTAGAAAAGACCAAATCTAAATCATTTGCGAAACCAATTGTTAGATTTGAATCCTATTATATATCTATGAAGAATTTTCAATGTTGCAGATTTCTCGCAAACTAGTTACTAGTTTACGCCAGCACAGTCGAAAGAATACTGGAAACCTTCGCAATATTCTACAGTTGGAATCTGTCATTGGACAGATAGATGTCTTTTCTGTCGTTGACGATTTGATAGTTTATCCTAACTTACTTTTTTAAACAATAAATTATTTGCAGGTTTATTGACCTTACAACATTTTTGACATTTAAGCGACAAAAAATATAGGATATGAAGTATATCTTGTAAATTTAAATTTTATTTACCGTACATAACCTTTGTTAAAAACAACGGATGTACGGTAAATTGCAGTTAATTTGTCTGTTAATAACCTTTGTTAAAAACAAAGGTTATTAACAGACAAGTTAACTGCGCTAACGATTAGTACAATATGTATTAAATTATAAATTACTATAATTCGAGAATTTTTTCGATATCTTTAAGCTCTCCTTCATAAAACTTTTTATCAGACTTTCATACAATGAATATTTTTATTGTTTAATACATTTTTGTAAACTAATTTGATCTTCATACCAAATTATATTTTATGTATCAATTTTATATTAAAGCATGGTTGTTGAACAATAATCCTACCGTTTTATTCCAACATTAGGCTTCATCGATTAATAGCTATATTTGAGACTAGCAGACCCCGACACGCGTTGTTGTGACTCAAAATGAATGTATTATAAATGTATAACACTTCCCCCTTGGGGGGGAATTTTTCGAAAAATCCCTTTTTAGTGTCTATTCTGTTGACGTACTCTATTAAAACACAATCAAAAACGCAAAAACCGCATCTAAAATAGTATAAACAGAAGCAGAGTTCTTTACGGTAAGCTTTAATCTTGTCCATCTCCCCCCCAGTGGGGAGAATTTCGTCACGTATATTATATAAAAACACGCGCGTATTCGAATGCAGCGTTGTGTGAAAATTTCAAAGGAATCGGTAGGAACAAACGAACATTACATTTTTATTTATATAGATAGAATGAAGATGGTCTGCTTTAGTTCATCCTCACAGAAAAGCAAACTTAGGTCGTCGTACTCGTAGTGCCATCTGTTGGACATAAAAGCCTTAACCCTAGATGATATCTTTTAATTTATATGAATGTTTAATGGATAATATACAGCCTATGTCCACCCTGAAGTTCCATTCTAAATATTGGTGAAAGAATTTTTGAAATCGGATGAGTAGTTTCGGAGATTACCCCTTCATACAAACTTACAAACATTACCTCTTTTAATATTAGTATAGATTATCTGAAATAAAATAGTGAATACTTTGTAATTTTAAATATAAAAGAATCAACTTTTCGTGAGTCGCTTATTAACCACTTGCCGCTCACCGATTAATTAATTTAATGTAATTAAGCATTAAAAATACTTAAAACTGAAAAAAAAGACGAAAAAATGCGCTAATTTTGAAGAAAAAGCTTCAAATTTTATTTTCCTTTGTCTTGCCTTTCTGTGAAATTTGACACTGATGAGTCATTGTTTACACAGCTGGATGACCTTGAGAACAGCTGGAGTCGGATTTCCCCGGGACATTCTCATAGAAGTCTCGGGAGGCGATGGGTTTATGGTAGGGTGAATACTAGTTGGCCGTATATTTTAAAATATTTTTAAAAAATTAAAATTTTTATTGTGATTTCCGCCCCCCTGACTTAATTAAACTTATATATAATAAAATCTATTAATTAAAAAAATTAAACTATTGGAGGTCGTTTTTGACATCAGAAAGTAGCTTTAAATAACTTTACCGAAGTCAAATCCGTGCACTACAACTTTAGAACGATTAATTAAATTTGATAAAAAAAATCCCATTAAAAAACAATTAAGCCTTAATCGAGCCTTATCAAAGGTTAATTAAAATCGCGATAAAATTTTTTGCGCGGGCAAAAATTTTTGAAAAAATTTGAAAAAAAACCTGTTTTTTTATGGATCATGAAAATAGGAATTTGAACTCGCTTTAAGAATTTTCGAACATCATCCTATAAGCTTAATTTTTCATAGCAGTATTCATTTACAAATGTCACAAACTCATTTCAGAATACAGTAAGGTCGTGCTAGTCCGAACTAATTGAGATCAGTGTGATTAGAGTATGATGATGTTAAGGGCAGACCCGAGAAAAAAGCGGGTTTGACTTTACAGCAGCAGAGCTAACCTCTGCTGCTGTAAAGTCAAACAGAATCACAGAATGAGCGGCAAAGCTCACATGTGAATTACGCTTACTTTACACGTGAGCTGTAAGTGTATAGTTGACAAATCCATTATTTTAATTAGGGGAATGGTAGAAGTTATTCGGATGACCAGGGATTCAGATTAGTGCGACCGTACTGTAATCCAACTTTCAATATACAATAGAAGTTCGTTAATCCGGCACCTACAGGACCAGTGTTACCGGATTACTAGATATTTTTCAAAAGTTATATACGATCCGAACATTACAGATATTGGGTGCGTTGTCTAGTAAAGCCGTTTATTAGACAATGGTAATGGGACCATTTTTACAGATTTTGTATCAACGCAAGCTACTGCATACTTCAGATTTGTTTATTTACGCTCTTTAATCATTCTGAAAATGATACAATGTGTGAATTCAATTAATTTTAACACATTAAAAAAAGACCTGAAAAACGTTAATGACGTTATTGCCCGGGGTCTGTAGCACATGTCTAAACAAATTCAGATTCGCAGTATTTTGGCATGCCGAATTGTTATCGGACACTTTTCAGAAGGTGTCAGATTAACAAACTTTCACCGTACTAAAAGGATCGCTAATTAAAGTTTAAACCATGCCACGAAATAAATAAATTTCTTGCTAATCTTACAAATTCTTAAATTTAGTAAACATATTTTGCAACTTAAAACTGTGTTTGCTTTATAATGCATCTGAGAAATATAATCACGAATAATTCAATGAATTGCATGGTAAACTTTCTAAAATTTAAATAAAAATCTGCAATTCACTTTTGAAAGTAATCATAAATTTTCGAACAATTCTCAATCGTCCAATTGACATTTTATTGCGAGTCGTCGTCACGTCTGTGATCGAAGAATTCGATTTCATTTTATGATGATAAATACACGTAATTTTTTGTAGTTTGTGACTAGTGTAAAAATATTTACATAAATTTATTTTAAAACGAGCAATGTTTAGTATTCTTTTATTTTTTGTAAAAAAGGGAGAGATTTCAAAGAAATAAAAATTAAACCGTTTATTTACATCAAATTTTCAGAAATGTTTAACATATTTCAGACGTATTCAAGAGGAAAACTTCTAAAAACTAATTAACAATAATATAATCATGATATAATATATCGATGTATTTAATAATCCTGATGAGAACTGTAGATACTCGTTTTTCTACAATTCTGTAGAATTGGAAATATTTTATGTAAATCTTTCAGAAAGTCAAAGTTCACAGTTCCGAATTTTGAAATAATTTTAAAAAAATCTTATTAATTAAAACTTATGTAAATACAATAAAAAAAATTCTTATTTACGTTTTACTTTTTCCACATTTCAAAGCATCTAATAAGATGCGTTGTTCATAAGCCAGATCACAGCTTGAGAAACGACGTCGGAACACATCGTGCGGGGGAATGAACATAACAGTACCAATGTTACTATATTTACTAATTCTCTTTGTATTAATTCGTTACGTGAAATAAATATCATTAATTTATATTGGCAAGTGATAAAGCTTCATTTTCTATTCAGTATCAATTCTCAGTAAGCATTTTCTTCTCTGTATATTTAAAAGCTTTCCTATTTTATCCAATAATTACTGTGTTTTACTGCTTATAAGACGCAGTTTTTGTTAAAAAAGAAAAACGCTTCACATATAAGACGCAGGACGATTTTTAAGTTGCGATCTTCCTTAGGTTAATGATTTCCCCAACGGTCTTTAGTAGGCTATGTGTAGCCTTTACCTAACTCAATTCTCGAATAAAAACGCTATTGTTTAATTAAGTATATTATTACTATTATTGTTTTCTGTTATTCTGTAAAGCTGCTTTTGCATGTATTTTAACAGTAAATGACTCTGTTTAAATTCCTGTATTTTTTCTAATAAATAAAATTTTAATTTTTTAAACCAGAATACAATAAAAAAAAATGTGCCAAAGGCGCGGGATGGCTAAGCACAAATACTTTTTTCTAAATAAGATGCGTCATAGGCCAGTACTAAAAATGGTTACAATGAGAATAATTGTAGCGTATGTTTGCATTGATAAAATTC